GCGAGCGCCAGAAAGGGAACGTGCCCGATACAAGGCGTGGCGACGCGTGCGTGCGCCGAGAGTGCTGCGGGCGCCGCGGGATCGCGGCGCTGAAAGGCGCAGGGCGGTGCGGAATTGAAGAGGGCGTGGTGATGGGCGCGGGAGTGGCGTGGGGACGTTGGCAGCACCGAAGAGTGCGGGCCAGTCCAGCGTGAGTGGGTGGGGCGGGCGGGCGGATCAGGGGCAAATTAAGCGCGGAGCCTGAGGAAGGGCAAGGGACGGGTGGGGAATTGGCGAGTCCGCGAGGGCGGCCTGCGGCCGGCCGACGCATGAGCGCACGATGCCCATTCATCTGCACTGGAGGGCGACGCATCCGGCCGATATTGCTTCATGCTTGATGAATGTCAGATGAATGGCCGTCCGGTCTAACGCGCGAGGCGCCCGTGCCCGCCCCACGCGCCCCCCTCCGTCCCCGCCCACCACGCTCAGCCCCCTCACGCCCAAAGAGGCTCAAGTCTGCATGGCCGAGCGTCGGGAAGCGCCTCTCGAGGTCTTTGCTTTCTTTCCTCAACCACGTTGGCTCTTCGTTTATATACACTACAACTCAGCTAGATTATAGTAACCTAGAACAACACAGTGTTCCTTTTGTCTGTGTTATACTATTTTTTTAATATTAACAAATAAACTCTGTAATAAAATGTATATTATCATGTGAATCACATCCTTTAGCATTGGACGTAATTGTCCAGTCCAATCGTACATGGGCATAGTAATAGATTTATTGAAATGGCGAATCTGGGGTTGGCAGCCTCGCTCTTCCGCCAAACTGCATGTCAAAGCACCACAGTTTCGCCAGTCAAAATATTTTAATAAGGAGTAGTTTTTAATGTTTGTTGGCAGTTTATTCCACTCGAGCTACCGTAATTGCAAACGATTTAATGTAGTAATGTGTTTTACTTTTTTAAATACGAGTATTTCATTTATTTATTTATTAATTGAGATTTCTGAAATCTAGAAAATTTAAAATGCACGAAATAATGTGTTATATATGACGGACACTTCATTGTCAGCACATTTAATAAATAGGCTATGATTTCAAACGTTCATCCTCTTTGTGTTATGGTTTGTGGTCCTTAAAAATGCCGGAAATATCATATTCTTATTTCATAAGTAAAGCGTATACATGATATGGAATTCTTTAAAGAGTTAGAGCGAGTACATTTTTCAGATTGTTAAACACAATGTCACCTTAGTCGAAAAAAATCACCATAGGGATTCGACTAACATGTTTTTCTTATTTTTAGGAAGGCATTTATCTACACATTTGAATGATTGCAAAGATACATAAACTTTGGGACAGACATTTCGGACCCAATATTCCCTGCTAAGATGATCAAGTATTAACCCCCAGTTTTCAACTTGTGAATGACGGAACGCTACAAGATTGTCTATAGGAATAATGAATTTTCAATTTTCTTATGTTTTTGGGAAGAGCCAATTATAATGCTTTGATATTTTGAAGTATTTAAATTGAAGCCATTTTTCATTGACAATTTGACTGCAAAAATATTTTTAATTCCTTTTTTTAATCTTTTTTTTATCATTGATCTCTGTGACGGTTTTCTGGAGATGAAAGTTTGCAAGATATCCACGTACATATGATGATCACATATTCAAATGCTTATCGTAGATTCATCGTACATAACTTTATGTGGACAAGATGGTAACGATTACTTTCTTAAATATTTAATATGCAACATTTGTTGTTATTAATACTTTAGATTGTGATACCTAAACTAAATGTGTTTCTTGCAAAAAATATTGCAAATTAATAGACTTACTCTGTGAATGAGCTTATTTACTTGATTTTGACGACTAATATTGTAAAATTTGTAAAATTGCATGGAATCTATTTTGTTTTGAATGTCAAAGTGTATTTGAGCTTTTTGAATATCCCTAACTGTGTATATTTAGTTTGTGTTTTTGTTAACGTTTTCCTATTTGAGCTCAGAAATGAAGAGAAAATGCTCAGAATAATGAATAATGGATATAAAATGATTTGATATTTTTTTAAAGAATTAGTAATTCAACACCATTGATTAAGAATATATATGAATGCATTTCTTTCAATCACTAATGACAAGATAGGTTAATAATTTATTTTACGAAATCACAAGCAAATATTAAGATTTAGATTATTCAGATGCATAATAATGCTTATTTAATTGTCTATAGTTCCAATAACGATTCCAAGTAATTCAGTAAATATAGTTCCCTATATATCCTGGTTCAATTCCAACACAAAGTGAAACGTAAAATGCGCATCAAACTCAAATATCGTCGCATAGTCGCGGTCAAAATGGGTCAATGACGCTCATTCTGAAGGGGAAAAACCGTCTGATACATTCGTTGTGGCAACTCAGATCTCCAGTTTCATTACAGCAGTGGAAGGTGAAACGGAACATTAAAGAGCTTTGCCTCAAAATAAAGGGCTTCTCTTCATTTATGACACCGGGGGTGCGGTAGTTTCCCCATAAAGCAGACTTAGTGTTACGGGAGTGCCTTCGCCCGAATGTAATATAGCGCAGGATTCGGCGTAAGCTGCCTATTCCGCGGTAATAAATTGGAAATTCGGCGGCGTGGGGGCCCCGGGAGATGACACGCCGCCTCCCAGCAGACGGGCGAGGCCGACGAGATCGCGCGAAGGCTCGCCTGGCGGAAATCCCGGATTCAATTGTAAGGCCTAGCCCTTTAGTTGTGCAATGTGGTGCCAGGTAGCGTTCAGTTTGAAATGTTGAACGGGATATTCAATGTTAAAACCGGCATAGGTGGCTCAGGGCATAAACTAATGTCATTGCGGTGCTTCTCACCGGGAGGGCTAAGATGTGAGTCCCAACGGTGGCATGAGTTTTGATACTAGCTAGATAGCTAGGTCGAGCTAGTATCAATATGGAGGAGAGTTCTAGCAGCTGGCTGCTCTGATCGACTGTCTACAGACCAACGACATTTGAGATGACTGACAGACAAATGTTAAGATGGTCATATATTTTTAAAACGTTGGTGTTAGGAATCTTACAACAATCAAACACTCGAACAAATGTTTACATAAAATTTACTTTTATTTAACTTTTGATTCAATGTATGATGCATTTAAAAAAGGAAATTACTTGCAATATAAACATCTTATTTAGCGGCACGAAAAAATAAAATAATGAAGCTTTTAACACTTTAGGTTAAAAGTGTTTTAGGGAATAACTAAGTTTTCACGTGTCCATTTCGTGAGCTCTCACCAGATTTGATGCAATTCAAACAGATAAGATTCTGATTTATCAAATCAGGACAGTTTAATACGTAGTGTGCACATGGTGAAATATTTCTGGCATTGCAATTATTCCCTTCCGAGAGTATTCCCCACTGTTCAATATGTCAATGTACCTCCACGTTAATAAAGCGTGCTTGAATCTTTCACCCCTAATTCCAAGAATAGACACTGTTGGGAGTATAAAGGATGAAAACCTCGCCAGTGGACAGCACTGATTTAACTTCAGCTGAAGAGAGAGCAAGCCAGCCAGACGTCCCGTTGTGTGTCTCGCAGTGCCAGACTACAACTGTACAAGGTGAGAGCAACACACTAACTAATTATTATGTTAGCATGTATTAGAATTCTTTTGTAATTCAATTTTAGTATGTGATTATGGTTTTTGGATATTAATGTAAGATGTAAGTTTATAGAAGATTTGTGTTGGAATGAACTAAATTGTCGCAAATATTATAAGAAAGCATACACGTTGTGATCAAACATCCTCGATAGTGTAAAAACATCATAAATGTGCACATGTACTTAATGATCTTTGAATTGATATTGAGACTGATTGTATGACGATATTACTCTTATTTTTGTTTCTTCAAACGTGGTTTGCGGACTTTCTTAATGTTAGTGTTGTTCTTAATGTTAGTGATCAATGAAATATAGACAGTAATTTTCTATATTGTTTCATTTAAACCTTTTTTTTAAAATATCTATACTAAGCTTGTATTTTTCAGTGTAATACAGATATTTTAGGTCGTATTAAAAACAGTTTCTCTAAATAAAATTAATAATTAATAAAAATATATTTGTAACGTAGATATTAGATAAATTGAAACTAAATTTTTAAATAGCGAACAATGGACGTTTTATTAGACGCAAGCTAAGTCAGACAGAACACTAAACGCTATCGTGCATAATAATTTAATTTGTTACTTGTGTAAAATACTGCTTGAATAAAATGTTAATATTTTTTACTGAATCCCTGAAAATATTTTAATTACACTATTAACTTTATTATACTAAATGACTTTCTCCACCCAAAAAAACTTAGCAAGAAAAAATTATTACAAAACTTATAAAAGCATGTCAAAGAAAAAAATATTAATTTAATCTTTCTATTCAGCAATAACCTTAAAACTAGAAATATTATTCTTTTCAGAAAGATAATTATAAAATTATAAAAAGAATCCAAACAATTAGGGTTACGTTTTTAAAGACCAGACATTAATATCTTAAACACAGCTTGTTCACGCAACGTCCATAAATTTTATTCGAGAATAACGGTAATTACGTGTATAGATTTTAGAGATTAATGGCATTATGAATGTTTTTAGTATAGAATACACAAACAAAAATTACGAAATTTTCTTTACAACATTTGATGTATTATTTACTCATGAATACATGATTGATATTGTTTAAAATTTCTTTCAATTTGTGTCTAAAAATCCGATTATCTCAATAATTTGAACCTATAATTCTTCACAAGAAGTCAATGAATATGGATTACAGATCCGCCAACAGCGATGGCTGTGAACGCACGCAGCATCGTGCTGGCGCTGGCACTGGCCGTGACGGCGAGCTGCTGGCTGGAGGCGAGCGGCAGCCAGTCGGGCGAGTGGGTGTGTCACGTGTTCCACGAGATGAACTCGTGGGAGTTGGACTTGTGCGTCGTCTCTGGCGCGAGGGAGGGCTTCGATCTCCTGACCCACCGCACATTGGTCAATTGCAGCGACTCGCAGCCGCCGGCTAGGGGGCGTGGGCGGCGAGAG